TCCATGTTGTTTAGCGGAATATCGTCAAAAACTACTATCTTATGTTCATCTGCATCAAGTTGATTAACTGGAATAAGATCTTCTGGCTGCCTAATTATAAAAAAATCTTCACCAGCTTTAAGATCATCACGAAGCTTTTCATTATACTCACTTAATAACTCATACTTATCTTGCTGTGGATTGATTGTGTAAATATAAACTCTATCGTAGTTAAAATTATCACCAAGAAGCAAGTTCATAAGCAAATTTGTTTTCCCCGATCCAGTTCGCCCAACAATAAGATAATGACAATCAGGAAGTTCATTATTATGTTTATGCTTCACTAGTCTCTCTGTATCAAAGTTTAGTATCGACGATTTTGCCATTTTGTATAATATTAAACTAGTGTTGATAATTTTATCTAGGATAGTAAATAATGAGCTACTATACAAAATTTGGAACACTATTAGAAGATTTATCCACAAAACGTTTTAAAGGTGACTTATCCAAATATGCAACTCTTGATCGGCTCAAAAATGAAATCAATAATTTACTAAATCTTACCAGCGTAGATCCAGATGAAGTTGTCATTTTCCAAGACAAAGAAGGACGATTAAAGACGAGTAATGTAAAACTGTCAGATGTAGTTGTACGAAATACTGCTGCGATTGCTAATAATATCGTTACTTTTAACAATCTAGGTAATATACAAGATTCTGGTAGGTCAGTTAATGATTTTGTTAAAAAAGATGGTGATGTATTTAGTGGGAATATTGTTATGAAACAAAATAAGATTACAGATCTTGGAAACCCAACTGAGGATGGGGATGCTGTCACTAAAAAATATGTCAATGATTGGGACGCTTTAATTACTAATGAAATCACAGCACTCAAAAATAATTTTACCAGTCACGTGAACACATTTTCAAGTTTTCGCAGAAGCATAAACAAAATTAGAGATGAATTTTTTGGAAATCCATCAAATGTTGACATTACACTCGCTAATATTAACACAAAACTCAATGATATTATTAGTGGAATTCCTAATATTGTTGAGAAAACGAGTATGGTTAAAATTCCTCACAAACAGATTAAAAATATTGTGTATACTGTTGCATCTGGATCTAGTACATGGACGAGGCAAAATAATTCTATCAAATACACTGCAGAAGTTACTGGTATGTATAGATTGTCAGTGATTAGCACTGTAAATTTTAAAATATATACCACATCATCTTCATTACGTAATTTTAATAGGTCTTCTGGAACTGTAATTATATTATTACTAAAAGGTATTGAAAAAGAATTTTCAATTGAACTGGTTGATACAATTCCAGTAGTTGAAGCTGATTATTATTGGTGTTTGGAATTTGTAGCTGATTTATCATAACTATGTAAACAAATATTATAATGAAAAAAAGTATAGTTGATTTTAATCATATTTCAAAAGATATTTCAGAACAGGATGTGGACGCACTAATACAATACTATAAATATTATCACAAAAAACATTGGTGTGTTAAAAAATGTTACAAATACTACAGCAAGATCCTTCGAGTAATATCATATCTACCATTGTTAATGACCAGTTCCGGTATAATTTCAAGTGGGATATCGTTAAATCCCTTTTTGTTAATTATATCTGGTATTGGTGTTTCACTTACAGCGGCGTGTAAAAAAGTAGAACCAAGACTTTTGATAAAAAAGCATGGATGTTCAACATCAATTAAAACTTACAAGAAACTACTTGATCAGATCCGGTCTTACCTACGAGGAGTCAAATATAATATGGATGATTTATTACGTGAATTTCGTATTATTGATAATATGTTAACAGACATTCTACCAATGAGGGTTAGCAAGTATGAAAAAAAATATCAAAAAAAATATGAGTAACGTAAAATTTTATCTAAACTTAAGATATAATATAACTAAAATAATATCATTTTCATTCTAATGCTAGTTTAATTTCCACCTTGTTAACTGAAACATTCTAATGCACAGTTTAATTTTCATCCTGTTATCTTGTGGTAAAACTCGTTTGCCGTCTTTAGAATAATTGTATTCCACACATGCGCTGTTCTAACAAATTAGTCACCTCTGTATCAGAACTTTTCGCATTCCAACACCTGTTGTTTTGTTTGGTTACAAAATACCTGTTTACAGGTAGTAGTAGGGGGAAAAAAAAGAGGTGGGGGAGGGTGAATCAAAACCCTGTTTTATTTTGGAAAAAAAGGGGGTGGGGTGGGGGATAATTTAGGACTATAATTTATACTTGTTTGGAGGGTAAAAAAACAAAGTGAGTTGAAAACCTGGTTTTCCTCTAGGGTGAGTTGAAAACCTGGTTTATTTTGGAAGAAAAGGGGGTGGGGTGGGGGATAATTTATACTTGTTTGGAGGGTAAAAAAACAAAGTGAGTTGAAAACCTGGTTTTCTAATACTACTGACACTACCATAAACGCCATCTCTGACCTGCCAGTCATGGAGGAACTAGACACACCGCCAACGCTGGAAGTTCTCGGAAAGTTCATTGACGGCCTCGCTCGTAGAAAGGCCAGCAGCAGAGAGGATGAACAGACCATTTTGCCTCTGAGATGTTACTTATAAAAAGAAGCTTCGTACAAAAATTAAATCTGAACTTTATAAACGTTAAACCATCACCTCTAACGCTGTCTAACGGTAGTCAACCCTGATGGGTTAGCTTATAATGTTACCGATGACAAAGCCATTTTGTATTTCATCGCTACGTGTATTCGTTTACGCGTTAATGCCTTACTGTTGATAACATCCTCTCTGCTGCTGTGGTTTATATCCAAATCTTTTATCAAGTCACTTACGACATCTTGACCTAGGATCATGCAAACATATTCCTATAAAACCAAACGGGACAGTTTGTCAGTGTGGAAAGAATCTTATAAATTTGTTCATACCCATGTCCCCAGAACACCGAGTATACTAAATATTGTTCAACTTGTGTGATTATCAACTCCGTTGAACACAACTAAAATGTCGCAGTTATCCCTGATCCCATTTGGAATTTGTGTATAACGTTGTATAGCAGAAATCACGTCTGTATTTGTGTGTCTACTTCGGGAAATTTCCTAGCTATATTTAGTTGTTTGTCCAGCATAACATTATCTTACATTACTAAATTATTACCACTTCCATCAAGGTCATCTACAGATACTGCTTCATCAATACCAGTAATAAAATCAACAATGTCACTGTCGTCATTCCCTTCACTGATTAAGGACTTTGCATTTTCATTAAAATCTTTAAGTACTTAGTATTATCACTTATCATATACAGCTACTAAATATAGAGCTACTAAATATTATTTATCCCACTTGAGCGATATCATTATCGGATTAAGAAATAATTCTATTTTGCGTGATTCCGATGGACCTATTACTAACATTCTGATAGAATTCGGCAGCTCCCGGTGATGCTTGACTGATTCTTATTTATGTGTATCTGAAAAGTCAATTGTATTCATATGATAAAAATATGAATTTATATTGTGTTCCATGCAGGGCAGCAATGTGTGCCACTATGCTAACAACAATAATAAAAAATAAAAAAGCGCACTAACAGTTAAGTGTGAAACGGGAGATAAAATAAAATATAAATTTATTTCAAACATAACGACGAAAGGTGATTTTACTGCTTCATTGGCAAATGTAGTAGGATTAACATGTGCGAAATATCCCTGGAAAAGTGCTTACCTGGTTATAATTATTGTGGGCCATGAACTCGTTCAGATATTCGACTTTGACAATCAAGATCAACCTCGGCCCAGTGCATATTACGTAAATTGAATTGATGAAGCATGTTACGCTAATGATATTACTTATCAAGATAACAAATTACAACAGCGGCATCTACATGACATAAATTAACTTGTGCCATAAATAATGTAACAAAAAATAAATCACTTCGAGAGAAATTAGCTGCGTTTATGGTAAAACCTAGTATGAAATGTAATAATATGTTGGGGGCTGGGAATTCATGATATAACTATTATAATGGAGTCCATCCATTAATCCTTGAGAGCATATTGGAAAGACAGAGCAGCTATTAAAAATTTTAATGAACCAGCAAGAGTTTCTCTTTCTGTTATTGTAGCTTGCTTACCACGACAGGCAATATGGCAAATCTATCTACCACCTTCTAAAAAATTAAATACGCGTACTTTAATGTCAGCGTTCCCAGTCAGCGTTCCCAATAAAGTTCATCAAGCAAATATTTTGTTTCTACCGCACAATACTATTAAAACACAAGGACGTCAATCACGCACATACAAATAGACATTAACTATCGTTGATGTTGCAAGTAGATATAAAAAAGCTGAACCATTATCAACAAATGCATCTGAAGATGTTTCTGCGTTTGAACAAATTTATCAACGAGGTTCCGAACTACAAGGTGATATGCGATGGGCACCGTTACTAAAAAATTGATTCTGGCAAAGGATTTGTTGGTACTGTATCATCGCTGATGAAAATCTATGTCAAAATCAGACAAGGACACACTTCATGATCAACCACTACTTGAAAGATTTAATCAAACACTCGCTGAGCGGTTATTTGGTTTCCATTATGCAAAGGAACTAATTGATACATATACAAGATTGCCATGCGTGATGGCTGCGTCAAATAATTAAATTACTCATACAACTTCTATGAAACCTAATAATGAAATTACAAAGAAACACATACCACCCGAACTTCAGGGCGGTCAACGATGGCTACGGACACCGACGTGACATTTGAAAACAGTCAATGGTGTGGTGGTGTTTTTAGTTTTTGACGTAGCTTTAACAATTTTTCAGTCATATCGCTACTATGTCTGCAGTGTGGCAGTTTATAGTGATATCTATCTACATGCCGAAGACATGTACCATGATGTCCCACCGAGTCACATTATCCTGACACGAGGCCGACCAGCCCCTAACACTAACCTCTTAATGCTGAGCGTCAAGTGAGGCAGCTGTTAGTACCATTTTTTTTAAGTCTTTGGTATGACTCGACCGGGGATCGAACCCACGACCTCCCGCATCCGAGGCGGACGCTTTAACCTCTAGGCCACCGGAAAAAAACAATGTTAGATAATGTGACTATAAGGTATTTAAATAAACATGGTGAACTTAAAGGCGTTACAAAATAGCAACTAATCCTATCTGGAGTTTGACCAAACATACAATTTCTAGCGTGGCTATATCTATGAGTGGACCAGCCATCTACATACTAGAATCAACTCCTCCTCAACGAGGATTTGTACGCGAACACTTGCAAGTAGTTCCTGAGGATACACAATTGACACCACGTCACTTTGGTAAACTAGCTCCTCGACGCCAATTGCATACAGGACATATCGATGTGATATTATCATTTGTATGACCAAGACCACTATTAATTCTGACTACGGTAACTTGTTTTGGATTATTACAAGAACACTTCCACAACATGTGACAGTTACAAATTGCACAACGATTTTTATGTTGTTGTTTTAGCCTCTTAATATAATCAACATCGATATCAAGTTCAGGATTAGTTCTTATCCTATTGTTATAACTGGATATTTTTCTTATTACACCAACAACTTCGGCGTCACTAACAGTTTAATTATTATTTCCTGTGGAATCTATGACAACTCTTTGCAGCTGAATTATTCTCTTGACTCTAAATACTGCGAGATAAACTAAACTTGGCCACTCGATTCTGTCATCGATAATCGAGATATTTGTATCAGTAATATATAGTCTATATGACCAGGAATTTGTTATGGCATATCCCAGTTTTCACGGCCAGTTATTGAAACCCATTGCGCTCTCAATAACGTCAGCATCAAGTAAACCAATGAGATTTAATACAAGATTTTGGTCTTCATTTATTTCGGGAATCTCAACTTCATTTTTTTGTCGTCGGGTGTCCGCTGAGAAATAACATAATAGTACAGGTATCGTTGAAAACCTTTCTTCATGTAACAAAATTAATTTATCTTGCACTTCATTACGAACTTTCTTATATTCGCAATTATTAAACTGTTTGGTCTTTATAATGTGCAAAAATCTTTCACAGGAGGTTTCGGAAATATATAACGCATTGTCTCAATTTGAATTATGTCTGGATTTTATCTGATTAATCTTTAAAATTCTTTCAGCGGGTCATCATTAGCTCTCTGATCGTCGGTTATCTCCTCATAGTCCACAAACGTTTTAACCACTCGTGCGGAGATTGCCCAAGAAAAGCTGGTGGTTGACCATGGCTATGGCACATAATCACAACAGTATTGTTTATCGGCAACCTGTCAAGAAATGTTGGTAGTGTTTCTAACGATACCTTACAAATCTCATCCGGGATGATGATTTTCGGAATATATTTTCATTCGTTCAGGAGTCCATGTATCTCAAGAAAATATGAATTGTAGATGATTTTAATATCTTTGTTTTGGTTATCTTGCTAACATGTGTGTATGTCTCAGCACAATCATATCAAAACTTCGAAGTATTTCAATCGCACGCATAGTTTTTCTAGAAGCTTCATGTCATGTCCATTAAGATAAAGGGTTTTCTATCTGACCACGGGATCAAATACACATGGTGATTTTGATACCGGTAGTTGATTTTCATTATCTAATATATTTCTTTGATATTTACGTCTGCTTTTTTAGAATAGTCAACTATACTCATTTGTTTTTATCTCCATGATCCAGCTACAGAGTAAGGGTTTACCAAACCCAGGTACGCGCTGTTAATATAAAATGAATCCGTATCAACTCTGACAGCTTAACAAGGAAATCTATTTTTCATCTATAATACATTTATAGAACTGTAGGCAGGCATAGAAAATCTTAAATACGTTAATTGTGGTGGCCAACCATTGTTATATCTCACGATTTTAATTAATGAAATTTTGTCTGACGAATAAGCATTATTTCAGCTTATAAATGTTCCTTTGTTCGTTGTATCAGTAATTATAAATCTAGCTTAGCATCATCCATGATTAATCGTGCACAATGTCGTTTATGATCCTACGAACCACATTAAGTTTACTTAACAATTATTTCTGTACCGAGATCTTTTGCAACTTTGTTTTCATAATCGATTTTATCCCATACTTCACCTGATTATGTCAGGTGTGAATGCTTTCACTGTTCAAGTAACAAACTTGTTTCTGCGGATTAATATGGTATAATAGCTTCACTTACGCTCAACGACGTTTTGATTTCAGTACAAAGCATGTACTATCACTATAGGAACACAATATCTTTCAGGGAAAGGTCATCCAAAGCACCTATAAATGATGGCATGAAGATTAAGATTATTACAAACCTTAAATGAGTTTACGAAAGAGAATCCAGTTAAATTTAAATCAGGTAATGGTTCATTTATCGCATCTCTTGTCATTTCATGTGTCGGATGTCCAAATCGCTTAAAGTATTCACAACATTCTCCGTATCTAAGAAAACTACCGAGATAACATGCAGTTATCGTGTTTGTTATTATATAAACCACTTTGTCCATATTCTACAAAACATTTCTGGACATCTTCAAGGAATTCTGGTCGTGTCGGCGACCATGAATGTTTCTTCTGAGCAAAATGAGCCGCAACGGATGGAACTATAAAACAATTATTTGGTAAGTTCTCAACTTTAATATCATCATAAACTTATACACAACAAAGGCGTCGTGCAAGATTTTTTTAATTTCTTCCAGGATAGATTATGTACGGTAAATCTCTCCATTAGGTTTTACAAACCGATCGTAATATGCCGATTCTATACTCAGAAATAACCAAACTGATACATCATCGCTCATACAGATATCAATGAAAGCATTGAATATATAATCGCTATAAAAGTTAACTGTCCTATTGGAATTACTGTCAAGCATCATTCCATGCATGTGCTTCATATTCAATGATTGTTATTGGAGTTCATCTTGATAGATTTTGACTTATATATAATGTTATTGGAAATCCTAATTTCTTTCATAGTTTATCAACTTCACTGATAATTGCTCCGGTATCTCTAACTTTTTCTGCCCACTAATTTATTTTAATACGTCTTAAATCAGTTAAACCGTATCCACGTATTGCTTTTGAGAAATGCTGAGAAATAAGCCATAACTAGCACAGCTACGCAGTTTAATCTCCTTGACAGATTAATCGGCTTTAAGATTTCCAACGCTAGGTTTATTCTTTAGCGGATACATCGCGTAGATAACTGCCGGTCCTGTATGTGGTTTATCAATACCAGTCAAAATTTTAGGCTTGGATTTGTTATTTAATGTAACAATATTATTTCCGATATAAAGTCGTATCTGTTAGCGTTTTCGCGAATAATATGTTGTTCATCATCTGCCTGCACAAAACATTTTACTAAAGTAATATATCCCTGATTGTCGAGATAGTTAATAATAGTTTTATCTAGTTCCTCACTCATCTTAGCATCAACAATAGAAGTGGTGTCGTTCATGTTTCTGAATCTCGACTAAGCACGAACCGCGCCATCATTACGAACTTCTTTTTTACTTTTACGGATAAGATCAACTATATCGCTATTTATAAAAGCCATATATTGCATAAACAATTACATTTGGATTTTGGTAATTGAACAAGATCAAATCTTGCAGTGGAATGTTCAATTTTGGATAGTCTCAAAAATTCCTGCATACCATATTTAAAGCAAAATATCTGTTTAATTAAACTTTAATTATATACAATCATTCAAACATGCAGCCGATATAGATTGCCTATGATTGGGTATTCAACGCATTGTAATAAATTGTGCATGAATGAATTTTCTGGCCATCACATGAAAATCTTCCGTACAGATAGATTAGGATAAAAACTGTTTACGATTGGGTGTTGGTGTTAGAGGAGAAACCCATTTGCGTGTAAAGAGCGGTAAACGATATTATGAAAAGATGAGATGTGAATCTCCCTTAAAAAAAAACCCATAAAGACTATCTGACCATATTACAAAAATAATCATTTAGACAAATAATGCTATATATAATGGAGCAAAAGTAGTTTGTTAAGGAACGAATATTTAAAAAAAATATGAAGCTCCTCATGATGATGTCATCAGAAACTGCAGATTGAAAACACCAGTCGGTGCTGGAAATATAATTAGTTATAGAGTATTGTATGGGGTCATCGAAGACGGACTTATAATTGATCTTATTAACAGTAATAGACAAAATAACTCCTTATGCATTCTTGAAATTGTCACACAAAGTCAGAATTGTATAATAGTTAATACTAGCAGATTAAAATGCTTAGAAAGTTGTCAGTTTTATAAACATATGCAGAGACATAAGAGCATATAATTTTTAAATCGATGTATGCGGCGGTTAAATAGTTTGGTATCGTTCCGACTTCGGTATAATGTATTGAGATTAATAGTACTAAGTAAGCATTTCCAAAAAATATAGTTCAATGGATCACTTTCCGGTATGTACAATGAAACAGATAAATCCGTCGTTGCTGAAAGAGCAATAAAGTAGTTATCTACCTTTTTATCGCGTTACAATTTAATCGTAATGCTTTAATATTATCTCTTCAGTTCAGATATTTCAACGATGTGAAAGTATTAATTATATAAAATATATATCATAGATGATATATAAATTCCTCATGCAGAATATAAATATATTAACAATGATATTATCCGTAACTGTTCTACGGGGACAGATAAATCTCTGATAGGCCGATATTACACACATACCGATCGCAGCACAGACTACATGTATCGTTCTTAATATACATAATGAAAGTGTGCAGGCTAAATATGCTAGTAAAATATCTATCGAACGTATTTACAGCTAAAAATACAAGGCAGAAACGGCAGAAATATAAAAATTGCAGAATTTATTCAGAATCAGAATACTACGCAGGTTCAAGCAACAATCGCAGAAACCCAATAAACGACGATATCAGCGATGGTTGCACGTCTACCTTATAACTTTATTTTTGCTTTATAATTATCGATGACGGTTTTAATTTATTCTGCCAAGTTGCTACTTTATTGCATCTGTATCTCTTAACTTCTGTCATTATACTGTACCAAGTTGTTCTCTAATGT